ACCTGACCTTGGATGGCTTCAAACTCCACGGAGTACATTGGGTCAAGGAGGTTCACCTCCTTCTCCTGATCATGCCTGTACAGTTCCCCAAAGAGAAGCAGGCTCTCGTCTTCGTCCTTCCGCGCCGGAGCCGACGCGGGTGTGCCCCTCGCCATGCCGGAGAACCTCTTCATGTGCTCCATTCTTCAGGCGCTCAATGCAGGGAGCAGAGTAAACAGGCAAACTAAAGGTGCCGAGACACAGGGAGAGCAGGTACATACATGCATATATTGCATACAGTGACGGAAGCTTGCCTGAATAACAAAAGGCCAAAACTGTGCCGGCAATCCTGAAAGTTTCCCTGGAGCTCCACGCGATCTGCACAAATGCAACAAATATGTTGGCGAAAGGGACATCAAGATGCAGCCGAATGGAAAGTATTATTACATTACATTGGGCAGTACCGTTTCTTTCTCCTTGGGCTCCACATGGCACAAATTTGTTCAGTTTTGGCCCCTTCATAAAGGCCAACTGTAATTGCTTTCAGTGTGCCCCCATATAAAAACCATGCCCATAGTCGGCCGAGGCCGGGGATAAATCCGCAGCGACGACGAAAAAACAGGCTTTCACATGATATAATTCACATACAAAGAACAGAGTAGATGCAGAGAGAAGCAGGTTGCTGGTCTATGCAGAGCAGAAACAAGCATATCATGTCACTCACATTGTAGTACAGTGTCTACAGGGCCACTCACATTCACATGTAAATCATACACTTGTACGGCAACCAGTTTTAACTCCACAGTTGAGCGGTGTCGCTCCCAGATTAGTACACATCTCTGCCTGCAAAGTTCCGAAGTACTCTACGATTCTAGGCGACAAGAAGCCACTTCTAGACAGATTGTTGATTCAACACCCAGTAGTGGTGATCTCCACCAAATGGTGCGGATGTTGTCGCCGTTATTGTATATGTTTTTTCTCGAGGCCAATGACTAAGTTCACACCTTCCCTTTCTTCGACTCGTATGACTGCCTGATTGCATCCCAGAACGCAGGCATCGCCTCGGAGTCAGGAACTTCTTTGAATGACGGAAGATAGTTTAGGTCCACTATGACATGGTCTCCACTGCCCTCCTGAACCTGCGTATTCAAAGGCTATGTTTACAGTTCCGAAGTAGAATGCGCAACAACAAAAAGATAATGGTGACTGTAAGTGTTTCAGACTTCCAGTGGGACGAAGTTACTCTGTTTGTAGCTGTACCGACTACTAATAGCACAAACCATACAAGAATAAATACTTACAACAACATCAAATCCAAAAATTGTTAGTCCAAGTGATTCCTTTAACAATTTTGCAGCCTCTTCCACCACACCGATGTTCAGAGATTTGTTATCATGTACCCTGTTCAGCAGCAGCTGCTCCTTGGTAGCCACTGGAAGAGTCTTCAAACTGTGAAGCAAATTCAAATAATTTGGTATGGGAAGTACACTTTAGCAGATGAATGAAAAAGACATCCAACATCATGCCGAAAATATATACTTCCAAACTTTACCTATTAAACGTAAGAGGTTCATCCCCCGATGACGATTTTAGCAAATTTGCATTGGGCATTGAAGTTTTTACAGCATGAAAAACCTTGTCTCCAATTACATAAAATTTGTATATCTTGGACCCGTGATCAATGTATTCCTACATCACATAAATAAAACCTACACATCAGAATCTCCCGGTTGTTTCTGAAGATGAATCATCGCAAACGGTAGTTCACAGGTACAGATCTGCAGAGTGCATCAAGACTCAACACGGAATGCCTCATGAGTGTCAAAATTGAAGGAAAACACACAAGATGTGATTAATCGTCAAAACATATAATACATTAAGTGTATTATCAAATATGCCCATTTCCTTCCAAGGCACCTGCTATCAGAGAGGAAAAGGCAGAAAATTGTACCTGTAGAATAGCTGGAAGAGGCACACTAAGGTTGCTAAACTCTTCAATTTGGAAAACTAATGCCTGCAGACAACGATTTTTCATTTAGATGCATAATTCAAAAGAAAGCAAATAAAATTCCAAACTGAAAAGGGATCAAGTAGCACAATAAGTCAGCAAAACCATCTTCGTAGGAATGGTGACAAAAGGATATGATTGGAAATTAATATAATACCCGAACATTCAGTTGATGTAGAACTAAATACAAAGACAATAAGCTACCATATTGTGCGCATCAGCGACTCCACATGCTACTTGTGGCTTCACGATGAGTGGAAATGATAAATTAGCTTCTGCTAGTTGCTTCTGTAATTCACTGCCATTGAATTTTATGACCTGCATTGGAAAATAGCAAGAAAACTCAATAGTCAAGACAAAGCCGATTGTAGACAATAAAACAATGCAACATGCACTGCACATAAATGCTCTTCAGAAGTGCATGAAGACAGGAGTGTTTAATGATGGTAGATGTCAGTAACATACAGTACAAAAGCCATGAAGTCATACTTCTGCATAAGTGTAATTCAAATAAAAAGACCTTCAAAGAATGTGGTGCTCGGAGTTTGGGCCTTCCTTCAGAGCCAAGTTCTTGCAATCTAACTAGAATTTCTTGGATTTGCAGACGATCAAGCAACGGGGAAATATTTTTGAATGGATCAATGATGCAAAAATCAGGGTATTCTTCCATAAACCTGCTTAACAAAGAGGATGATAGTGAAAACAGAATGAGTATAATACTTCAACATATCAACCTAAGAAGTTTCTGTTACAAATTATATAAAGCAAGTTATCAGATGGTTGCTACTTGTTGCTAGAAGATACGAAAGTGAAAATCCACTAAATTACTTCTGTAATCGATTGTACCTTATAACTTCAGACATTCCTGCAGAAAATGAAATTCCCCTGGGAAAACTGATGGAGCAATTTGGATCAATGGTAATGATCTCATCCGTCATTTTGTGGAGGATTATGTCAACTTCTAGAAGTTGAGAGGCTAAAGGAAGTTCAAATGAGAGTGGGACAAAGATAAGTCCATTTTCACTAGGATAAATGGGAAATGCTCCTCTCTGCAAGCAACATAGGAATAATGATGTTCCAGCAGAGATCAAATATGTACTTAGTAACACATTATAGAAAACTTGCCTTGGCAAAGTCTTCCTCACGGGATGGTTTCATTGCATAGCCAACCATCAAAATAGATGAGCTAACTATTTCCTGGATGAAAGAACACATAATTTCGAAATTAGTGCACTACAACATCACAAGAAATATGACCAAGTAGACATGAATGACAATTTAACCTTTTTAATTAAAGTAGCCAAAGTGATAAGCAGCTCTTGAAGCTTGCCAATATTTACAACTCCAGAATCTTTTGTTCCACATTCACTATCTGGATCATAAGAAGAATATCAATAGCCCTCAAAGATAATATTAGCACCTCCTTCCAATATGTAAAACAGCATGGGCTACACAGCAGATATATCATTGATGAAGTCCTAACGCCAAACAGCTAGTTGGAAACAGCATGAGATGGACAATTAACATTTCTTCCTGATTTATGCTTACCTACAGCAATAACCTTCCAGTTGTGGCTCTCAAGTTCAGAAAATAGATCTTCATCAACTCTGGAAGTAGCATAAAAACAAGAACTCGTTCTGCTCCACTCTAACATCAACTCATTTAGTAAGTGATTCCCAGTTGGAGCAGGTAGTGATATATATCCAAAGGAGTTCAAGTCTGCTGTCATTTCAAGAAAGCCTGACTGATAAAAGCAACAGAGAAGCCCCGTGTAAGCGTATACTACCTTACGGAATGATGTAAAGCATTCACAAAACAATGCCTTCAGAAGAACGGGAATGTATGCCGCAAGCCAGCAATACCAGTTTTTTTCATTTCATATGGGAGGGTACAGATACTAGCGCAGTAAACTGAGGGTTATAAAATGTTTGGCCACAAATATTGCAAGTTTTAACCGCACAGCAGGATTTAGCAGAAGAAAACTTTGACAGACATCAAGAGTGATCAGTGCAACGGGAGCATCTGGAAATAAATCTAGCTGGATATATTGGTTCATCTGAAGTGATCATGCAAACACTTCTGTTTTAAGTATACTCAGCTCTGTATAGCCCTCATCGCGAATCATAAACAGTACAGTACAAGTATAACTGGGATGAATCAAACACAGTAACTTGAAAAAAAAAAAGGTTCAGAAGGGGGTAGAGACAGATGTACCACAGTAGTTGGCATTTCCTCCGTATGGCAAATTGCCTGAAACAAAAGGAGCAAGAAGATGCAGTCAGTGGACTACAAGGTACTGGTATATCATAATAATTCATCTCAGAGCGCACGCGGTGAAGAGCCGGACTCATACCACGCCCAGATTGGAGTGGCGCAGCCGCCGCAGCAGCGCCTCCGCCCCGGGACGCAGCGTGGGCACCGACGCGGCCTCCTGCGCCCCTGCACCGACGGGATCGAGGAGGAGGGACGCATCCAGCACCAGCCGCACAGGTCGCTCCATGGCCATGGCTGCGGGGTTCGGGTCTCTCTCTTCAGCTTTGGGTGTTGGGGCCGGACTTGGAGGAAGGAGAAGCTCCTGAGCGGTGGGGCCACGTGTGAGGAGGGCCAGGTGGGTCTTCCGGGCGCGTGGCAGACAGGTGGCGGGTCCTGGCGAAATGCGGAAAGCACCTTCTGCTTTTATTTTTTTTATTTTCATTCTTTAATAAGGGTGATAGTGGCTACTGGCTGGTGTTGCAGGGAATCCGGTGCACTGTGTCGAGGAAAACGGACGTACCGCGTACGTCCTCATTCTTTTTAAAAATATATATAAACGGCGGGCATTTCAACAAATCTGACAAACACCGATACAAATAAATATTAAAGACCCAAACAAAAAATAAATTTTACACCATTGTCCCTAAAGTCTTTCTATCTCCATCTTTCTTTGTCACCCTCATCATTGAAGAAATTGTCGTGAAAATGGAGCGAATGCAAAGACCACGTCATAGACTTCAGCAAAAATACATGCCACAAGATGCTATAGGAACTGCAGTAGAAATCTACTGCAAGATGCATGACAAGGCACATGCTTGAAGAATGTCGGCGAGGTTACTAAAGATCTATCGTAAAAAAACCGACGCGAAGGGAGAAGAACAACCATCTTAGGCTAGAAGAAGAGAGGCACTCTTCCTTTTCAAAAGTCTTTGATGGCAGACTTTTCGGCTTCATTTGCAATATGAGGAGCACTCAAACATCATCCTCGATCAAGTACTCCACATATGCATATCTTTTCTAAAATCAAACTCCCACGGATGAAACGCAGGGAGGTGAGGCCAGCGTGTAGAACATAAGGGCATCTTCAACGTGGACCTCTAAATCGCACGCACCCGTCCGGACCAAGCGGAACAAACGTGATTCGCGACCCAAAAACTACTTTGATTACATCAAAGATTGCAGGCATCGAGCTAGGAACTTCTTTGACAACGGAAGACACTTTAGGTCCACTATGACATGGTCTTCGCCACCCTCTTGAACCTGCATATCGAACGTTGGGTTTTACATTTCTAAAGTAGAACACACGCCACACAAAGCAAGCAGTACGCAACCGCCTTCTCCCCTAAGAAAAGCCTAGGATTCCTTTGCATCCCGCCGGGCACCGCCGCCGGTCCGCGTCGTATCCGGTGACCTTAGGGCCATTGCGGCGCGGTGGATCCCGGCCCTTGCCGGCGGGAGGGCTTTGTTATTTTCAGATGTTTCCTCCAGTTTCGTTAAGCTTTGTTTCCTATTCAAAAAGACGAGATGGTGGCGGTTTCCTAAAGATGGAATAAGGTTCGCCCCGCCTAGCCTCCGTCTTGGTGGTGTGTCGATCTAGCATCGTCGGTGGGCATGTGGATGCGTGTCTCCGACGAATCTGTCCTTAGTGGTTTGCTCGGATCTGGCCGTAGTTCGTCTACATTCGTGTGTCTTTAGGTTAGATCCTTCCGATCTACGCTACTCTTCATCGGCAGTGATTGTTGTTCTGCTACGCTGGCCCTATGGGGTCTTAGCACGACAACTTCTCAACTGTCTATTACAACAAGTTTTGCACGGCTCCGGTGAGGGAGGGGCGATGACAGCGGCGCGCCTTCGGCACACTTCGGTGCTTGTAGTCATGGCTACGTGGTCTATGGATCTGGATGTAATTTTTATTATTTTTGACGTTCGTTACTGCCATGATTGAAGATGAATATACTGACTTTTTCTCGGAAAAAATAGAGCACGCGCCATGAAAAGCTAATTGCGACCAAGTGTTCTAGATCTTGAGTGGGACAAAATGTTCAGTAGGCCGCTAATTAGAAAAAGAAGAATGTTGAATGGGAAATACATGAAGGCATATTTTGCCTGCTAATTAGAAAAAGAAGAATATTTGACTCCTTTTCTTTTCCAGCCTAAATAATTTAATTGCCGCTAATCAACAAATTATTCAAGGGTAATATCATCCTAAATTGTCTAAGATTATGCGCCTTGATCATCATGCCCTTTATGGAGGGAAGGAGGGACATAGATTAAGACATATTTTGCCCGCCATAGAGAAAAGGAAGAATATTGGACTTGTTTATGGGAGGCAAGCTGAACATAGATACGTAATGCGGTATGCACTGGTCCATGAGAAGCAGGGTCTGATCTGAGTGTGGATTTTTGGAGGCCGAGCTCCAGTGAGCTCGGTATTTAAAAAAAACATATTCAAAAGTTTCAAAAAAATCTAAAAAAAAATACCATGAAAACTTATATGTATTCTGCAAGAAGGTGTTAATTTTGTCGAAAAATGTTGTGATTTGTAGGCTGTACAAAAATAACAAATTTCTGGCCCGATAACAAAAATAACAAATTTCTGGCCCGATAACAAAAATAAAAGGCCCATTAAAAATGCATATTTGTCTTTTTCCTGTACTCCACATGTAAATGTATAATACTGTGAAATTTTGCATATACATAGTATACATGTGCATGTGTGTTCAAAAAATAAATTTGGAATTTTTCACGCTCCAAAAAAATAAAAATTGAAAACGAGCTCACTGGAGCTCGGCCTCCGTTGGCATTTTTCCGGGTCTGATCTTCCCTTTTATTTCCTCTTTGAGTTATCAACCAATGGTATTACTAACGGGGAAGAGACACAAATCTATACGTCTGGTTGCTCCGATCGTTGCACGTATAAAGTGTTCAAGTCCTCAAGGCCATATATATAAGCGCACAAACCCGGGACATCAGATTCACCAAAGAAGCCAAACCTAGCAAGGGCCAGACAAGATGGCACGCGGACGCGGGTTCACGGGCTCCGACGCGCTGACGGCGCTCACCCACCGCCTCGCCGACCAGTTGTCGGTCACCAGGGAAAACCCCAGCAACGTCGCCTTCTCGCCGCTCTCTATCTACTCGGCTCTATCCCTGGTGGCCGCCGGGGCCCGCGGCGGCACCCTGGACGAGCTCCTCGCCGTCCTCGGCGCGAGCTCCCGCGACGAACTCGCCGCGAACGGCCGCTTCGTGGTGGAGCACGCGCTCGCCGACCGGTCGCCGTCGGGTGGGCCACGCGTCGCGTTCGCGTCCGGCGTGTGGCACGACGCGGGGCGGGCGCTGGAGCCGGCCTACAGGGAGGCCGTCGTCGCCTCCTACTTGGCCGAGATACGCGCCGTCGACTTCCGCAACAAGGTTAGTGTCTATGTCTCATCACGTCATATATACGTAGTTTGTATCCATGAATCCATCCATGGAGATTGACTGATTGCTGTCGATCGGTGCAGGCGGAGGAGTCGAGGGAAGAGATCAACAAGTGGGTCGCGGCGGCCACGGGCAAGCTCATCGACTCGATCCTCCCCCCGGAGTCGGTGAGCGAGGACACGGCTGTGGTGCTCGCCAACGCCATCTACTTCAAGGGCAAGTGGGAGACGCCATTCAAGAAGAAGAACACCAAGGTGGAGCGGTTCTACCTCCTGGACGGGACCGCCGTCGACGCGCCCATGATGCGCACCGGGCGGAGCCAGTACGTCGAGGAGCACGACGGCTTCAAGGTGCTCCGGCTGCCGTACGGGTCCCAGGACCCCGGCGCCTCCAAGAAGCGGCCACGCTCACGCCAAAGCGGCACCTCATCCAGAGACAATCCTGCACCACTGCCGCGGTACTCGATGTGCGTCTTCCTGCCGGACGCGCGCGACGGCCTGTGGGACCTCGTCGGCAAGATCGCGTCCAGCCCGAGCTTCCTGCGCGACCACCTGCCGGAATATGAGGTCGATGTCGACGAGTTCCGCCTGCCCAAGTTCAAGGTCTCCTTCTACGGCAAGCTGTCCTGTGTGCTTCGGGACATGGGACTCGTGGCCGCGTTCAAGGCCGACAAGGCTGACCTGACTGACATGGCGCCCGACGTCGAGGATGCCTCGGGGGAGCTAATAAAGCGGCTGGTGCTCAAGGACGTTTTCCACAGGGCGGTGGTCGAGGTGAACGAGGAAGGCACCGAGGCGGCCGCCGTCACCGTCTGTGAGGAGGAAGATGAATCGGCCTGTCAGCCTGTCGATTTCATCGCCGACCATCCGTTTGCCTTCTTTGTGATCGAGGAGGTGTCCGGTGCCGTCGTCTTCGCCGGCCATGTGCTTGATCCTACAAAACACCAAGACACATTACACGACGTGGATTAGAAACTCGACTATATTTTGTATCTCCAATAGCCACCCGCCAACTAATGACTCGAGCTTGTGAATTTTTATTTTTATTTTTATTTTGCGAAGATTGGGAGTTTAAACTGGATTCTCTATTCAAAGAGAGAAATGAGTAGGCTAATTTGGACTATTACTATTCATTGCTCCGAACCCCGATTTTTATCCGACGAGCAGAAATCACTCGAGACCAAATCAAATGGCTAGAATCGCATCAAGCTCGAGATCGAACGGCCCAAAGTCTCTGAGACATGAGAGGATATCATATGAGCATGATAACTTAGAGTGTCTGTTGCGCACCCAGTCGTGTCAAAGGTGGACACAATTTCTTTTAATACAGTATATACCATCGAAGTCGCTCACATACACGAGCATATATACACTCATCCCTATAAGGCTATAATCAAATACACACATACACTACCTTCAATTGAGCACCTCTAAGAGAATGACCAGCACAACAGCTTAAGATTGATAAAGTCATCAAATGTATAAGCTATGGTAGAACGTATAGAGATTGAGGAATCGCACTCTCCCCTGGGGGTGCGTGGCTTCTCATTATATAGCATCGGTATTACATATACATGGTATATACGAAAGGGTAAGCTACAAACGTATATAACCTGGATTCTAACACCCTCCCTCAATCTTAACATGTGTCAAGAAGGTTGAGATTGCGCCGACAAACTTCAAACAAAGGAAGTGGCAATGGCTTAGTGAAAATGTCCGTAAGTTGATCTTTAGATGAGATGAACTTAATTTGTAGTAGCTTTTGTGCAACTCGTTCCCTCACAAAATGAAAGTCAACTTCGATATGCTTCGTCCTTACATGGAAGACAGGATT